ATATAACTTATTAAACACATAGCCTAAAATTTCTCAACTAGCCTAATCTACAACATTCCATATACTCTAAATAACAGAACTATTAGTATAAAATAAAATAGATAATAGATTGTGATTTGAATTAATGATAGTCTGAAGGTTATTAAAAAGTTAATATGTTTCAAAAATAGAAGATAATTGTTATAAATTAATTGTAAGTAAAGGAGAAGATGAAATATTTAAAGGATGTCAAAAAGTAACAGAATATGCAATATCAAGAAAATTTATATGAAAGTTGAAAGTTTTGTTAGAATTGATGCAACAAGTAGCTTAGTAATTAAGTTAGTAGAAATAAAAATAGTACATTTGTTAGCAATTGTATTTAAATTAAGATAGCATCTAGTATATAATGTGGTAGTAGAAGAAGAAGTAAGATAAAGATTAGAGAACTAAAACTAAAATATGCAGTACTAGTAGTTAATAAGAGTAAGGCCAGTAAGTATATTATGTTTTTTAGTCTTACCAATAATTATTTAGTTATAAAGAACAGTAAGTAGCCAAGGTTTAGTATTAGAGATAAAGTGATCAGTAGAGTAGCAGAAGTAGTTTACAAAAAATAAGTTCTAATAATCATATAGAGTGCATTGGTAAGAGTAATTTGTAGTAATATCTTCAAGAATAGTAAACTATTATAATATAATATCTTTTAAAATTTTATTAAGTTTGAGTAAAATGTATTACTAGTATAGTAGATATGAATTGTTATAAATAGTAAGTTGGTTCAGAAAATAAGGTTATGATATTTGAGTTATTTTTTAAAAATAAAATATTTTGGATTAGAAGAAAAAAAAGATTCAAGAAAGATAGTTCTATTATTTAGAGTATATGGAATGTTGTAGATTAGGCTAGTTGAGAAATTTTAGGCTATGTGTTTAATAAGTTATATTATTTTGAAGTTTGTAGTTAAATGATTGAGTTTATTAATAATTGGCTTAGAATAAAGAAAAATATTAATAAAAGATCAAAGGTTGTTTTGAAGTTGTTAAATTTGTATACAAGTAGATATATTTAGTAAGTCAGAATTGTTAAGTTATTTAAAAAGATTAGGAATATGATGTTGCAGTTAAATATCTCTTAAATGTTTAATGTTGTAAATTTAAAAATATAATAAGGTACTGAACAGTATTGTGTAGCAAAGTTTGGCTTTGAGCTTAACAAGACCAATGTGTTGAATAAAAATTTTGTTGCAGATAGGTTGGTTAATAACAATATTGTCTAAGCAGTATTTAATAATAGAAATAATGACTATATTAATAATATAGCAAGCATGTGAGTTAGTTATATATTATAGTTTTTTTGCAATTTGGATAAGTTGAAAGGATTCAAAAATAATTAGGTTTGTTTGTTTAGATTACCTGTTATCTAAAATAAACCAGTAACTTAAAAATTTAAAGGGTTGTTTGAAAAAATAAAGTAGAAATAGATAGTAACTCTACTATCTTTTATTTATTTAGAATATTTAACAAAAATATATAAGATAAAACTTTAACTTAGAGAGTTAGCATAAATTACTAGTTAGTTCAAAAACAATATTTTATAGAATTTTAATAATTCAAAACATGTATATAAGTTATGTTTGTATTGCTATATTGTTTATACAATTCTAATTAGGAAGTAAATACTACTAACTGTTTTAGTATTTTTATATATTGATTTTTTAAAGAAAATAAACTGAATTGCTTACTTTTTACAAAAATTTTTTTTAAAAAAAGAAAAGATATAAAATAAATAACATTTTAACTTTTATAAGTACTTAATCTTTTAGAAGTTTTTTATAAGTTTTATAATTATAATAAAATAATATATTTAACTTCATTGTTTACTTTATGAGAAACTTTTAGTTTTTACTAATCACTTTTTCTATGATTTCAAAGTTTCTTTAAGCTATTATTACAAAGTAATAGTTTTTTTTCAATTCTATTTTAATTACAATATGCATATTTAGTATTTTAAAGAAGTTTTTATAAAGTTTAATATATTACTTATATTATTTTTTTATAGTTTGACATTTTGGAAAGTTTGGTCTAGATAATTATTAAAAAAATTTAATATGAATATGAATTTATATTATTAATTAATTTTAAGTTTATTTAAATTTATTTATTAAATTTTATATTTTATTTTAGAAACATTTCTAATCATAGATTTTCAAAATAAGTTATCTAATTAATGTAAAGCATATTAACTATTAAATGTTTTGAAAAAGTTTGATTAATATTAAATAAAATATTATTAATAAATGAAACTAAAATTGAAAATAATTTTTTTTATAATTAATCTTATATTATATAAAAATATATATTAAAATAGTATTATTTTAATAATGTTCATTGTTATATAAATTGAGTACAGTTTTATAATTAACTATGAATTCTTGCAAGTTTAAATCAATATTGTTTCAAAGTTAATTTTGAAATTTGGTGTATTGTTGATGAAACAATGAATATAGCTAAATTAGTACATATAGATATTAATTATAATAGAAAAGAATTAAGTTTAATGAATGTAATTGAAAAATAATTTTTTTTTAATAAGTTTATTATTTTAAAAAATTTAATTTGTTAATATTAATATTAAATTTTATAATTTTAGAGCACAAAGACTTGATATGTAAAAATATATAATTTATAAAACACAAAATAAATATAGCCTTACAAAACTGAAAAAAACAATGAACCAATATCTCATACAGTACAATCAATTAAATAATATAGTAAATATATACTAATTTCAAATTATATATATATATTGTTAATAGTATTATTATTATATTATAACTAATATTATATAAAATCAAACTTTAAAAACAAAATATATATATATTAAAAAAAAATTAATGTTAAATAAAAACAAATAAATTAAATTAAATTTTACTAAAAGTAATTCATTAGATAAATTAGAATGACAGATTTTGCTTAAAGAACATTAATTAGAAATAGAAAAAAAGAAAGACTCCATGAAACAAAACTTCTTAATTATGAAAAAACATGTTAATTAGGTATTGAAAAGGAACTAGGATATAATAAGTAATATATATTTTAATTGCTTTACATCTAATAACTATATATAATAAAATTAAATAATTTATATAGAATAAATAATATGTGCTCAGAAACATTTGCTTCAAAAAAAATAAACAAATAAATACAGTCTACTCTCATTTATATTAACCTATTTGGATTAGTTTTAAATTATATTAATAGCGATATTAATGAGAAATTATATTAAAATTGATATATATGAGAGAATTTTGATAAATAAAAATTTATAAAAATTTTATTTGTGATTTAGATTGATATTAATGAAGTTGATATTAACAGAGGTCGACTATAATATTAATATATTATTTGTATTGCTTTAAATTAATTATAATTTATTGATGTATTAAAAACTTTTATGTAAATTTATTACTATTATATTTAGAGAATTGATATTTATATCCTCCATTTTTGATATTCGTACCTCCCTATTAAACAAAAAGTGTCATAAAGTATATATTGTTATTAAGTAAACCTCTTTAGTAGTCTTAAGTAAAGTTGTTCCTTATAACCTTCTGGTTCTAATGATAGTAAAATTATTAAAATTGAATTAGTAGTTCTTGTTTAAAGTTAATTAATATTTGTTAACTTTAAATATTAATAACTCAAGAATTTCTAAATCAATTTTAATAATTTTACTATCATTAGAACCAAAAGAGTCTGGGGAATAACTTTGCTTAAGACTACTAAAGAGGTTTACTTAATAAAAATGCTTAGTTTAAAGCATTTTTGTTTAATAGGGGGTATGAATATTAAAAATAGGGGGTATAAATATCAATTCCCTATATTTATTTTATGATATATATGAGTAATAATTTTTGAAATCAGATTAATTATATAATCAATTACATATCTATCACTAATGTATCAGTATTAATAATTTTTATTTATAAAAAAATATTTTTTTAATTTTTTCTTTTATCTATATAAGGATTTTCTATTGCACTAATACAAAATTATTATGCCTAACAAAAATATAAATCAAATAATAATAACATTAAAATTATGTATGCTAATGCAACTCTAAAAAATAAATCAAATATACTTTCTTTATTAGCAAAAATTTTAAGTCGATCAAAGATTAAAGATTTTGGATTTTGTTTCAGTAATGATTAATTTAAGACTGCTGTTCGAAAGGCCAATTAATTATTATTTTTATTAACTGATTATCAAAGAGTTATACCACCATCACAATTATCTATTAATAAAAGTATAAAGCAACTTATTAGTGAATTTCTTTATAATAATTTACAAAAATTATCAATTACAAAACAGAAACAAAATTCTGAAATAAATGAAGTGTATTTTTTAGAAAAATCAAAATATAATATATATTTTGAATTAAAATCACAATATCCAGATATCAAACTTAGTCTTAGTTCATTTTATAAGTTATATTTAAAAAATTTCAAGAAAGCTCAAAAAAAAACTGATATATGTTAAGTATGCATTAAGGGATAACAAGCTAAAAGAAAATTATAACAACTTACATCTATAACATCATTAACTAATCTTATTATTCTCAAAAATTTTAAGAAATAGTTAACTATTATTATCATTATTATAATTTTAAGAATCAACAAAATTATTTCTATAAGTAATCAATTGAACATACAACAACTTCATCCTATATGATTGTAATGAATTTTAAGGAAATATTAGAATTAGAGGTAATCCAGTTGAGACTAAAAATAATTTTTTTGAAAAAACTCAAGTATCTGTTTTTAGATTTGTAGTACATTATCATAAATCTAATCAAAGCTTATATACACAATATATTGATTACTTTTCTGATGTTTTGAGTCATGATACATCATTCATTATAGACTGTATTACAAAGCTTTTTAGTCATTCTTTTATGCCAAGGTTTCATGAACCTTGTTTTTGGTCAGATTGTGGGCCTTACTTTCATTCTGCTGAATTAATAGATTTTTTTTTTGGTACATACCTTTAGTATGCCAAGGAAAAATTTATTTAAATTATTTTACAGAGTACTATGAGAAGAATATTGTTAATAGTCATTTTAATGTATTATCTAGATGGTTTTCAGAAAGCAAAGCTACACAAAATATTTATACAATTAATAATTTGATTGATTTTTTTCAAGAAAAAGCTAATTAAAATTATATAAATATTAATATTTCAATAATGAACTTTGATATTTATTCATGAACACAATGTTGACAAAATATTTATAAATTATGTGTTGATAATTTTAAATCATATCAATCATTTGTATGGATAAATAACAAGCTTTATGCTTTTACACTAAGTACATTAATTGATACAGATTACATGGAGATTAATTATAAAATAAAAAGTATTAAAGACAACAGAAAAACAAAATATGCACCAAAAAAACAAATATTAAATACAGAAGTTTCAGTTGTAATAGGCATAAAAAGTAGACAAATATTAGAAACTAGAATTAGACTTTCTGATAAATTTTTACAAAATATGATAATATAATATAATTTTATGACTCAAAGTAAAGGTGATAACCAATAATGGCTTTGGGTCCGGTTATCTTCCTCCCATGCAGACCTTACTTCATTATGTTTATACATGTTAATAAAAAATAAGATGTACACATGTTAATAAAAAGTAAAATTCTATATTATGTGTAACTTACAAAGTGGTCCGGGTTCGAAAATAATTACCCATATTGTGTAAAATTATATAAATTCATGTAGATCATCCGACCATTTTGCTCTTCGTAATGGGTTTACACCTGTTATGACCAAATTTTTATACAATCTTATTGAACATATAATTTTTTTTTATAAATTTATTGCATGCATGTATAATGTATAGAATTAATAAATATACATGCTATACATTATAATTTATATACTATACTATACATAGTATCATATAACCGAAATTAAAAGGTAGTAAAAGTTATACCATACCGATCAGCTATAATTCTTAACCCTAAAATTCGGCCTATACCATACTGATCTGCGAAATACCTTTAAATAATGGTTGTATAAAAAACCCCCCCCCCAATAAATACAAACAGGTTTATATATATGTACAACAACGGTTAAAATAATTACGTATATATTAATATATTCAATATATGGGTACCATCAATAGAAATGGGACAAATCTATCTATTTCTATTGATATCACCCCATATAAATCAGTTTGAAGTGGTTTCGAGAGTAAAGTTGGCGCAAATGTTAAAAGTATATATATGTATATATATGGATTAATTTAGATCCCATTATGACAATCCAAGCATATATTAGTTAAAATCGGCGATAGCTGGTGGTTGGTCGAAGCACAAGTCATCAGCTACTTAATCTGTACAAGTTACTGCAATTTACTCACCATTGAATATATATATTTAACTGTTTGCCGTTAACGTTAAATAATAATAAAATAAGGCAATGTAGATTACGACACTGAGCTTTTTTGTTTTTGTCCGTTATCTAAATCTATATTTGTAAATAAAATACAGTACATTAAAAAATTGGAAACATTGGGTCATTCCTAGAATGCATTGTTATATTTTCATAATAACTCCGAACATCTTGTAATTTAGACATTGTCTTTTCCTGACATTATCAAATTAGTATCTCTTGGTATGTACGATTATACCTTGCTGGCAAAACCCAGACAAATCCCAAACCTCCAAAAAAACAAATTGCTTTTATGAAAATTAAATCAGCAAAATAATTTTGATATTTTGTAAATATATTATATATAGCTATAAGAATATATATTACTTGTTTAAATAAAGATTAATAAAGTTTTGGAGATATTAGTTTGGGCTTGAGTTTTGGACGGACAAACCCAAACTATAATAATTTGGGATTTGGGCGGCAAGGCAAGTATATGCACGATAGTAATACTAGTCCAAGAATAGAGAAACCATTAAATTTGTTAAAATTTGATATACGCCATCTACAAATGCACTATGCATACCTTCTCTAAATGTACACTAATCTTAAGTCCAAAGCACATAAAGTACTTAATAAAATGCCCTTTATAAATACACACCCTCCCTAAATACACAAATTTTTTCAAATTTAATGGTTTCTCTATTATTAGACCAGTATTATTATCGTGCACATGTACAGTACCTGCAAATTCGAGAGATACTAATTCTGTAATTTGATGTCAGACAAAGACAATCCGATGAGATTAGGAATGAGATTATCTTACACAATTTTTTATTTATTGTTGTTTTGTTAAAATAGCGAGATGTAGACCGTATTTTGTTTACAAATGTACTGTGCTTGCATAAATTTAGGAATATAAATATATGAGTGCGTGAGAGTGAAAACCTGGAAACACATTTAATGATTTACTATGATTGGTTACAGGTTTTCACTCTCATGCACTCATATATTGTACTATACATATAAGAACGGACAAAAACAAAAAAGGCCAGTGTCGTAATCTACATTTACTTTATTTGCGGTTAGACGCGATTATTTATTATTTATTTAACGTTAATAAAATATAATAATAATTAATATATATTGTGACCCTAACGCTAAAGAGAAAGAAAAAAATTTATCAATTATTTTTTTTATTTATTATATTATTACAATTCGTTTATTATAGTTCATTACAGTCTGAAATTATTTATTTGAAAAAAACCGGGTACTTATTTAATATCCAATCTTTCTTTTTTTAAGCTAGCCTCTTTGGGACTAGGGCTTTTTATTCAGCACAGGGACTCACGGAAATCTTATTTATTAACGCCAAAAAATTAATATATCAGATATATATTCATGCATGTGTGCCATACGTGTTTAAATTTGTAATCTATATCTTATCATTCACTGTATATATCTTTATATATAATATCTTTATAACTTTACAGTTTCCTCCGAAAGTTTTAGGACGGTTACACAGAAGCATAAAAAAAAAATCATCAGCATAAAATTGTTAATGACTTTTTGATTATTTACGTATGATGTTTCAGTGTAACCGTCCTAAAATTTCGGAGGCAACTGTATTCGAAATCTTAAAACTAAATCTAAATTTGATTTTTCAATCAGGTTTATAAGAAACAAAAGGTCATCAATTATAGAATTAGTTCCATGGTTGTTTATTAATGTAACTATAAAATATGGTAGTTTTAAGTAGCACTTGACGGTGGGAAGAAAGATTGTGTAATAAACATATTACCAAAATACCTCTAATGTTTATGAGACATGCTAAATAGTTACACGGATTTTTTTTGACCAGAATAACTTCGTTTCGAAAGAAGGATCTTCAATTGGAAAATTCATAAAATAACTTTTGTAAGAATATTTAAAGGTTTTTTTAAAATTGATTGTTATTTTTAGATAATAAACAATGCTTTTTTTTAAAATAGAAATCGGTTTTAGAATAATCTCAGTATATTGCAGATCATTTCTAAATCGCGTAAAATACCTGAATCATTGCGATAATAATTCATTAGAATATTAAAAAAAATGATATTCATTAGAATATAAAAAAATGATTAGATTATCAAAGTCACTAATTACATAATTTTAATACTATATAACGATAAATACTATATCCATCCATTATGAAACGTTTAAAATTAGTAGATGAACATACTTGTTAAAAAAACTTTTTTAATAACCCACATTTAATTTGAACAAAAAAAAAAATAAGAACGGCATTTATTTAATAAACAAAAATTTCACAAAAGGTTATTAAACTTGAAAAGTGTAACAATCAGTCTGTATGTATAGTAAACCATATATAAGGTTATAACTATATTTCGACTTACCATATAATTATTTATTTTATTTATTTTATAGCTTGGTTATGTAAGTACAAAAAAGGGTTCTGATAAAAACAAGATAATGTTTTGTAAACAAAATGTCAACAAATGCCAAAAAATTGGCCTGCATCAGACATTCAATTATATATCCGATGACAGATTTTTTTTTTTCCCTTGGGCGCCTCATACAGTATATGGAATTGACCGAATATACAAAGATTAAAGAACATGAATGTTCTCCCATTGCAAACAAAAAACAAAAAAACGTCATTCTATACCAAGTAATTGGTACTTATGAAGATAAATACAGAAATAAGTATAGTTAGTATGAAGTAATAAGTATAATTAGTGTAATTTAGTAGATTTTTATTTTACTGTATAATTATTGCGTATACATTTTTATATAAATTTTTTTTTATAAAAATACAAATTTTTTCTTTCACTTTTTTTTTCTTCAAGGCAAAACCTTCAATAAAAATTTTAATATTGTCATTATGAACCAACAACCTATAAATCAAGCAGTTGGTGGTCAACCTTTGCCACCTCAAAATACTAATGTTCCTGTAGGTTCATCCTACGATAACCTCACTGCTGAACAAAAATATAAAATTTTAACCGAAGGTGCGCATCCGTTTCCTAGTAATGCTGGAGTACAAGAAATAGAAAATCAAGCAGTTCAATTTCCGGACGTTATTATTTCGGGATC